GGTAATTGAAATTAGCACCCAATAGTATTTTACTAGTAAGAGTACTGAATACTAGGGTATATGATAGTGATATGCTGTGATATGTGGTGTGTGAGGGAGGGTAGAGATATGAACATGATAGTGAAGGATAAGGTAATAGGTAGTATGAGTATATATATAGTTATATAATATTTAGAGAAAGGGTATAGATAATATAGATAGGATATGTGAGATATGATATGTTACACGAACACACAACAGGAACACACGGAAACGGGACACAACGACCCACACACACACAACCGCGTTGGAAAATCGGATTTAACGGCTGCGCTCACAGGACGTAGACACACGGGTAAATGAAAATAGATGTTTTTGTTTATAATCAATAATGTAGAGAATGAGAGAGGGAAAGAGAGAGTAACAGATGAATATGTAAGGTAACTAAGCAGTAAAGGCCGATAATCTGTAATTTTAGTATCATTTTTTTTTTTTTTTTTTTTTTTTTTATTTATAAACCACGTCTTATAATCAATTTCATTTGTAGTTACTCATTTATCGGCATTTATTTTTGGTAGTCATGTAGCTTCAGAGTGTAACCCATAATGATATAAATTAATATTAAAAAGTTTGTCCTTAAAAATTATGCGGTTACAAAGTAAAACATACTTAATCTTATTTGGTAATTATTCGATTAGAAAACGTAAATTATATTAGGGGGACTATATCATAATATTATATATTTATAAATCTTGAAGAAACTGAATATCATAATCACATTTGTTACCTGTTATATAATTGTAGTTCCAATATATAATAGTGCCAGAGCAAAATCTCTAGTTACCCCGCAATATTTGTGAATTCATTCGAAAAATAGTTTCGCAGGCGAATCGCAGACTCAGGCTTTTTTTTTTGACGAATTTTCCTGAAATATAAACATTTGAGTACTGGGGATTGTCGATTTTTTCACAATTCAGCCAGACGAGTGAAGTAGAATATGTCCGTCTGAAAAGAAAAATCTTCCCGTCAGAAGGAACATGTTTTTTTCCTAAGGCCAATGCACAGGTCAAGGCTAGATAACGGAGGAAAGGCAGGGAGGATTGGGAAGATATGTTGGCGAAGACATGGAAAAGGAGGAGGAGAAAAGAGGAAAGAAAGGGGCGAAGAATAAGAGGTTTAGGTAAAGAAAAGTGATAAAGTAGAAATGATATGAGAGGACGATATAAATGAAATTAAGATAATAATGACAGAAAAAAAAGGAATAAAAATTGACGGAAAAAGTGCTAAGTGCGTGACAGCAGCCTTTTAATTATTGGAAATTATAAACAAGACCGTTAAAAACTTTTGCTATTAGGTTGAACGCTGATGATCAAACCAGTAGGGAAACACCCCCCCCCCTAACCCCTCCCTTAGTATTTTCCAGACCTTTCTTACCAGAGGCAAAGCATGGCGAAGGCAATAAAATGAAATACTTATATTAGAGGGGTAATCCATATGAGTCTCTTTTCATAATCACAAAAATCTTTCCAATAATTGTATTTAGGCGATATAGACTATAGAGGATGAAGGGAAACAAGGTGATTGAGATAATATATTTAGATATACAATGAAAGTGGTAAGGTATGTCACATGAGGTTTATTATAGTTCACTAGAAAACTTTAAGGATCATAATCACATGTAAAAACATGACACCACCCATAAAAGCAATAAAATATGAATGTTATAGGGGTAACATATGTGTATTTGGTGTATTTTCAAGTGAAGGCGATGCACTTTTTATCTATCATATTTTTTTATGTTCAGGTTCAAAAAGGAAGACAGCGTGATGGTAACCGCATACACACAACATACTGCACATATTGTGGGGAGGGGAAATCACCACGACGATACCACGATATTTTGGTATCAAATAGTCGAGAAAGTAATCAGGAAATGCAGAGAAAGCTGAAAGTAAGGGATTAGTATATATAATATCGAGTATAATATATATATAGGAATGCATAAGGATATATATATATATATTATATAACTTACCTTCTAACCATATATCTCACTATAACTCCCTGTATTGGTTCGTCCTCCAAATCCTTCCTAACATCTAAAGACAACATACAAACTCAAAACTTGTGAGATATTAAAAACCAACACATTTTTCCTCCTAATGCACTAATAGATTTACAGATGCTTGCTATACTTTGTTAATTATAATGAAGGAGGTTAAACACATGTCAACAGCCTCATCTGAACCGTAAAATGTAAAAAAAAGTGATAGCGGGAAAAAGTTTCACTAACGAGAAATATAGTTTCAGGAAAGGCCTATCACTTGGGTATCGAGGGATGATAAAGGAATTTAAGGACAAAGGTTATATATACTTGGGACAAAAGATCGTAAACCTAAGCAGATTTTAGAAAACTAGATTTGAATAAAAGAAAAGTTCTTACTGTATTTCTCAGATGATATTAGTGTACATAATGTTAGCAGTGTGTATGTATTGTTCTTTGTGTTTCGTCCGTCCGCCC